GATTTTTGCTTTGGCCACTGCATTCCTTAGATGTATGTTATTTTGTTTCTAAAATTATGTCATTTTCCAGATGTCTTTTGGGTGTTGATGTCTAATTTGTGAGCACAGAGAAAATTTTGTAAAATTGGGGTCCTTTTACATTTATTAAGACTTGTTTTGTAGCCCAGAATGTGGCCTACTTTGGTATATATTCCATGTGCGTTGGAAAGGAGTGTGTATTCTGTTGCCCTTGGGTGAAGTGTTTTATAAATATCAACTAAGTCACATTGGTTGATAGTGTCCCATCTGTTGTTTCCTTTTCCTCTTTTTCTGCCATCTTTTAGGTTGAGCTTTTTTTTTTTTTTTTTTTTTTTTTGTTTTTTTTTTGAGACAGAGTCTTGCTCTGTCGCCCAGGCTGGAGTGCAGTGGCACGATCTCGGCTCACTGCAAGTTCTGCCTCCCGGGTTCACGCCATTCTCCTGCCTCAGCCTCCCGAGTAGCTGGGACTACAGGCACCTGCCACCACGCCCAGCTAATTTTTTTGTATTTTTAGTAGAGACAGGGTTTCACGTGTAAGCCAGAATGGTCTCCAACTCCTGACCTCATGATCTGCCCGCCTCAGCCTCCCAAAGTGCTGGGATTACAAGCATGAGCCACCATGCCCGGCCTTTCTTTTTTTTCTTCAAACGGAGTTTCGCTGTTGTTGCCCAGGCTGGACTACAATGGCATGATCTTAGCTTCATTGCAACCTTCACTTCCTGGGTCCAAGTGATTTTCCTGCCTCAGCCTCCCAAGTAGCCAGGACTACAGATGCCCACCACCACACCCAGCCAATTTTTGTATTTTTAGTAGAGATGGGGTTTCACTATGTTGGCCAGGCTGGTCTTGAACTCCTGACCTCAGGCAATCCGCTTGTCTCAGCCTCCCAAAGTGCTGGGATTACAGGCGTGAGCCACTCACTGCGCCTGGCTGAGAATTCTTTTATGATCCTATTTTATCTCTTGTGGGCTTCTTGGCTACCCCTCTCTGTTTTCTTTTTAGGGTTATAGTACACATTTTTCCCTTATTACAGTCTACCTTCAAATGATATTATAACACGTCATGTGCTTTATAAAAACTTTATAACAGTATACTTCCATTTCTCCTCTCCTGGCCTTTGTTCTAATTTATCATATATTTTTACTTCTATGTATTAGTTGTTAGTAGTTTTACTTTTAACAATTACCTTTTAAAGGAATTATTTATTTATTTATTTATTTATTTATTTATTTATTTTAGAGAGAGGGTCTTACTCTGACACCCAGGCCATCTTCCCACTTCAGCCTCCCAAATAGCTAGAACTAGAGGTGTGCACCACCACACCTGGCTAACTTTTATTATTTTTATATTTTTGTAGAGACAAGGTCTTGCTATGTTGCCCAGGCGGGTCTCAAACTCCTGGCCTGAAGCAATCCTCCCGCCTCAGCCTCCCAAAGCACTGGGATTACAGGCATGGGCCACATTGCCTAGCCATTAAAGGGATTTTCTAAAATAAATCATATATTTTATATTTACCAACATATTGCATTTATCACTTCTAATGCTCTTCATTATTTTAAAAAGACAGACCACACCAAGTATTTCCAAGTATGTAGAGCAATGTAGGGTCTCCTGCACTGCTGGTGGGCATGTAAAATGGAACAGCCACTTTGGAAGCACAGTTTGGTGGTTTTTATAAAAGCTTAATACATACCTACATATGATCCAGTCATTCCATCCCTACATAGTTACACAAAACAAATGCAAGCACGGCTGGGCATGGTGGCTCACACCTGTATTCCGGACACTTTGGGAGGCTGAGACAGGCAGATCACTTGAGGTCAGGAGTTCAAGACTAGCCTGGCCAACATGGTGAAAGCGCACCTCTACTAAAAACACAAAAATTAGCCAGGCATGGTGGTAACACCTGTAGTCCCAGCTACTAGGGAGGGTGAGGCAGGAGAATTGTTTGAACCCAGAAGGCAGAGTTTACATTGAGCCAAAATCCCGCCACTGCACTCCAGCCTGGGTGAAGATTTGAAAGAAAGAAAGAAAGAAAGAAAGAAAGAAAGAAAGAAAGAAAGAAAGAAAGAAAGAAAGAAAGAAAGAAAGAAAGAAGGAAGGAAGGAAGGAAGGAAGGAAGGAAGGAAGGAAGGAAGGAAGGAAGGAAGGAAGGAAGGAAAGAAGGAAAGAAGGAAAGAGAAAGAAAGAGAAAGAAAGGAAGGAAGGAAGAAAGGAAGGAAGGAAGGAAAGGGAGAAATGCAAGCATATTTCCACACAAGGATCAATACATGAATACTCACAAGAGTTTTATTTTTAATAGCTAGAAACCAGAAACAGCCCAGGGGCCCATCAGCCAATGAGCAGATCAACAAACGGTGGTGCATCCATATAACAATAAAAACAGGCACGTAGTCAAGCAGGGATGCATGCGGCACCCCGCAACAACATGGATGAAGCGTGTAGCTATCATGCTGGGAGGAAGAGCCAGAAAAAGAAAGGGTGCATGAAATTCCAGAAAATGCAAAACAATCAGAAAGCAGAGAGAGAGGAATGGCTTTCAGAGTAGCCCAAGGAAGCTTTTGGGGTTGGTGCCCTTTGTAAGGCCGGAAACCTATGTCAAAACTCCTCCAAGTTTACATTTTAAATATGTGTGATTTATTGTATGGCAATTATACATCAATAAATCTGTAACATCTATTGAATGGGCTTAAGGCAGATCAGACGTGGCAGAAGAAATGAGCAATGACCTTGAAAAAAACACACGATGAAATGATCTGAACTGAGAAAATAATATTGAAAAAAATAATGAAGAGCATCTCAGTAATTAGTGGGACAGTACCTGACAGGTTAGCATATGTCAACCAGGGTCCCAAAGAGGGAGGAAACAAGATGGAAAAAAATACAGGAAGAAATAATGACCATATTTTTTTTTTTCAAATTTCCAACATCTACAGGCTCCCAAAGTTCAACAAACCCAAGAAGAAAAAAAAAAAAAAAAAAAAAAAACCAACAACATAAAGAAATCCACATCATAATCAAATGCCTGAAAAGCAAAAATAAAGAGAAAATCTTAAAAGCCTCCAGAAGTTAAAAGATAAATGAAATTCTGGGTGCGATAAGAATGACAGCTGCCTTCTCCGTAGAAACAGCGGAGGACAGAATGGTGCTGTGTTCTTTAAAATGCTGAAGCAAACTAACCACCAAGCCAGGGTTCTATATTCAGTAAACATTTTCTTCAGAAATACAGGGAAATCAAGATGTTTTGAGAAAAACAAAAGCTAAGAGAATTCAGTGCCAGCAGACTCATGCTACAAGAAATGTTTTTAAAAATTCTTTGGACTAAAGGCAAAAGATACAAGTCTCAAGGAAGGAAAGAAGATGACTAGGTGATTAAATGTATGAGTAAGTATAAATGAACATTTTTTCCTTAATTTCTTTAAAAGATATGCATGTATGTTTTGTTTTGTTTTTTGAGACGGTGTTTCACACTGTTGCCCAGGCTGGAGTGCAGTGGCGTGATCTCGGCTCACTGCAACCTCTGCCTCCTGGGTTGAAGTGATTCTCCTGCCTCAACTTCCTGAGTAGCTGGGACTACAGGTGTGCACCACCATGCCCAGCTAATTTTTGTATTTTTAGTAGAGATGGGGTTTCATCATTTTGGCCAGGCTGGGTCTCAAACTCCTCAAGTGATCCTCCTGCCTCAGCCTCCCAATGTGCTGAGATTATAGGCGTGAGTCACCTCACCTGGCCAAGCTATGCATTTAAAGTGAAAAAATTTAAAACATATTGTAGCATTTAAAACTTATATAGAAATAAAAATATGACCATAAAAGCTCAAAGGACGAGAGAATAATAAATGGATTTAGCCATTGTAGTTCTTGTAGTTTACATGAAGCAGTATAGTATTAATTTATGGTAAATTGAAATAAATTAAGGGTGCGTATTGTAATACCCAAAGTGTTAGTGGTAAGGTATTACTACTAAAAAAAAACCCCAAAAAACAAACAAACAAAAAAATGGATACAGCCAAAATGGCAATAACTGAAGAGAGTAAAACTGTAACACACACACACACACACACACACACACAAAATACTCAATTTTCCCGAAAGAAAGAATAAAGAAATAAGAAAAGAAGAAAAGGAAGATAAGTAGGAATGGGAGACTTACATCCAATCACATCAATAATTACTGTAAATATAAAATAAACCCCCAAATTAAAGGACAACAATTGTCAGACTAGATTAAAAAGTTAAGAATCAAAGCAAGACCTAGCTCTACGCTGTTAACAAGAGAGAGCTTTTAATAGCTTTTTAGTTCTGAAATTAAAGTGACAGGAAAAAAAATCTGACACAAAGGATAAGTAAGCGAGTGTGAATATAATAGTGTCAGAGAAAGTAGAGTTCAAGACAAGGTGTGTTGCCAGAGACAAGGAAGGTTTTTGATGTTAAAAGGGTAAATTCATTAAAAAAATCTTTAATGTGTATTTAGGAATAATAGAGCTTCAAACCAGGTAAAACAAAAATCAACAGAATTAAAGGGAGAAAGAGGCAAGTCTACAATCATGGTTGGAGATTTTAACACATCTCTCTCAGTAACTGATAGAACCTGGGCCAGGTCTAGGGCAAGGCAAGTGAGACACTCGCCTTGGGTGCAAAATTTAAGGGGGCACCAAGAAACTCTATAACTAAGGTAAGTAATATTTTAGAAAATCAAAATTACTGCAAAAAATCCCTGATGAGCAAAATGTCAACGAAATTTTTTTTTTTTTTTTTTTTTTTTTTGAGACAGGGTCTTGCTCTATCACCCAAGTTGGAGTGCGGTGGCACAATTATAGCTCACTGCAGCTTCAAATGCTGAGACTCCAGTGATTCTCCCACCTCAGCCTCCCAAGCAGCTGGGACCACAGGTGCATGCCATCACACCAGCTTTTTTTTTTTTTTTAAGTTTTTGTAGAGACGGGGGTCTCACTATGTTGTGATCCTCCTGCCTCAGCCTCCCAAGTCTTGAGATTACCGGCATGAGCCACCATGCCCAGCCCTCAAAATTTTAAATAAAGATAAGTGCTCCATGACACCATCCATCAGATGTGTCCTTAGTGTGGCTTACAGATTCAGCCACCTTCTCTTACCTGGCCCCTGGGGAACAAGGAGCTGCTTTGACAGGACAGCTGGCCAGCCACGAGGGTCCCGAGAACGCCCCCCTGCTCCTGCTCAGAGTCCACACCCACACACAGTGCAGAGTCCATTCACATCCACCAAGCAGCACCGTAAAATATTGAGGAGAGGGAGTTGTTTGTAGGTTTGGAATAATATCTGTGTCTTTATCTGTATATGCATTTCATGACTTGTAAAGCCCCATCCTGCATCTCATCAGAGCTTGGCGCAGTCATCTTCTGAGACCTCAAAGTAAGAATCACGTGCCCATTTTACAGAAACTGTCCATCAAAAGGAAGCAGAGACTTGTCCCAGGGTCCATGGTAATCGGCACAGCCGAGACTCAAATACTGCCCAAATCTTTGTCCTTGACTCCATCGGGCTGTGCAGAATTCACTTATTTCCCTCCAGTTGGAGGGAATTTGCACCCAAGGCGAGTATTTTGCTTGTTTTACCCTGGGCCAGGTCTAGAGTGAGGCAAGAGAGATATTCACTTCGGGTGCATGAAGTACATTTGTTGGGGATGCTGAAGGCTTGGCTGGGGCTTTTTGCCTTTTATGGACTTATATTGCCTTATATTAAATATCTTTGGAGCCAGGTGAGGCCAGTAAAATGTTACACAAATAGGAGCTATCTCCTAGATTCTACAGGTCATTTCCTGGAGTCAAGACCAAGCAGGTGTGGGGGGCCGGGTGCAACTTCTGTTGGAAAGAAGCCCAAAGCACCCTTTGGAAGACGGTGAGTTTTTAGGGATGGGCCTTTGGTTTCCTCTCCAAATCTGTGTCAGCATCTGAAGGGATGTCCAAAGGCTAGATTGGTGTTTCCTGGCGTGGGTGACACAGATAGACAAAGATGGAGCTGAAAGGCAACTTGTTCAATGATGACCCGTCTCCCACGCACGGCCAGTGAGGGGTGCTGAGGAGCTGTTCGTGGCCAAGGTTTTCCCACTCTTGTGCTGTCTTCCCTAGCCCCTGCCTCCACCCTCCTCAGGGACTCTGCTTCTCTGGGCTGTGCCAACGTCAAAGGTGCCCAGTCCTCATTTTCCAGGGCTCATGTTTCTAGATGCCTCATGCCCCCTCCATTTGTTTCTCTGAGGCTGCCTGATGCATGATTGTTTGGCTTTTTCTCCCCTTCTGCATGCAAGTTGCTTCTTTTTGGAAGCAGAAATGTGAGTGTCTTCCTGCAATCTCTTTTTTCCTGAATCCTACTCCAGGGGAAACTTCTGACCTTTCACTTCTCCCGAATTCCTCCTGGCATCTCCATCCCAAGGGTAGGGTCCAAGTACCCAGACTCCCCCCAGGACTGTTGCAGTTGCCTCTAAAGAGGTCTCTCTGCCTTGGGTCTCACCCATCGGGAGCCCCAAAACCAGCCTGGGAGGGTGCCTTAACTAACTTCACCTCTATCTCTGCCAGCCTCCTTCCTCCCAAGCCATTCCCCGTAGACTTCAGTCCAGGAGGAAAATAGCTGGCTTGTTATGGGAACGGCTTCAACACAAATCTCGTATCTCCTTCTCCACGTGAAGGGAGAGCCATCATCCTGGCCTATATTGAAATTCTGGAGCTACCATAAGACCTCTCAATACCTGTGTGCCTCAGTTTGCTTATCTATATAATAGGAATAGTAGTAGGATCAACCTTTTAGCATTGCTGGAAGGCCTGTAACTGTTGCATCAAATGAGGAGAACTCATAAGGTACAGGCACTGAACATTCTCCCCTACCTTAACACCCCCATTCTCCTTCCACCCTAGTGCTTGCTCCAACCTGCTCTTGGGGACTGTTTCCTACTCCTTGAAGAAATCTTGGGGAATTTCCATGCTCACTCTTAGATACTGCTATTACTAATTATAATACCATGGTCACAGTGGTCTCCTGATCACATTTTAGCAAATATTACATTCATTTGAGGTAGCGGCCAACACTCCTAACTTCATTCAGAATTAAAGCTTCTTCACTCCCTTAGACAGGGCTTGACGTAGGGACCTAAGGGCCAGACAGCATCTTGGCTCCTGAGAACTCATCTGCCCCTTGTCAGCATCATCTGCCCCTTGTCAACAGGAGCACAGCTGTGCTGCCCTGCTCTGTTGCCAAAGCCACTTCATGCAGCCTCGTAAAGGCCTTGGGATTTTTCAAGGGTGAGTTAAACCACAGCCCAGTGTCTCTGAAGCTGGAGAAAACAGGTATCACACTCTCTGAGGCCTCCTCAAAGCCCCCTAACCAGCTTGGATGAGAGAAAAGCAGTACCCATGCATCCCTGATTGGAGGTGGGGTTGGAGGTGGGGAGGTGGAGCTGGGAGGGGCCACTCACGGTTCAGCATACAGACCACTTCACTTAGGAATCCTCCAATCCCTGAGCCTGTCCTTTGTGTCTGTCCTGCGGTGGATGAGCAGACAAAAGTCACAAAAGCAGTCTTCAGCCACTTCCTTTGCGAGTTCTATCTTTGTGGTCTAGCCTCCACTCCAGAGTTCAGGAGTCCATTCATTTGAGTCATTATCTAAGGGCCTTGATAAAAATGAAGAATAAAATATTCCCAGCGAAACACTACAAAACAGAATAGTCTTCCCACTTAAAGGGACTAACACATAGCAAACACTCAATAAATGTTATTTTTCATTTTTTTAAAAAAGCATGGTCTCGTTCTGTCACCCAGGCTGGAGTAGAGTGGCTCGACCTCGGCTCACTGCAGCCTTGGCCTCCCTGGCTCAAGTGATCCACCTAGCTCAGCCTCCCTAGTAGCTGGGACTACAGGTGTGCGCCACCACGCCAGGCTAATTTTTCTATTTTTTGTAGAGATTGGGTTTCACCATGTTACACAGGCTGGTCTTGAACTCCTGAGCTCCAGTGATCTGCCCGCCTTGACCTCCCAAAGGGTCGAGATTACAGGCGTGAGCCACTGCACCTGGCCAATAAATGTTATTATTCAACTAAATAAATAAGTGCTAGCCAGTGCTATTCTTACTACTAATCATCACTATCCATACCTGTCCAGGCTCAGCCCTTTCAAGTCCTCTCTGCCTTCATGCTCCAAGGTCTCCCAAGGTTTTCGATTTCCTGCCTTTGCCTATACTGTTTTTGCCCTGGATGCCCATCCCACTGGAACATTTAGGCTGGAACACTTAGGCTTTTTCTCCAAGCTCCAGTCAAGCCATGGCCACATTGGCAGGCTGTTCCCACCTCCCCAGATGAAGCTGACCCCTCTCTTATTCTGGCGCTTGCTGTAGCATGTCCTCTGCCTCTATCCTGGGCACTAATCCTACTCACTGCAAGGTCTTCAACCTGCTGCTGTCATACCTCCTCACCCCCACATACACACACACACACACACACACACGACTTCAAACCATGGCTTATGCATTTCCATAGCCCTAGTGTGCAAGGATTATTGAATGAATGAGTTACTAGTGAATGAATGGATGGATGCATCAAAAAACTACCAATTAAAAAATCAATCCATCATCAATATGCTAGGAAAAGAATGAAATCCTCCTCAGTGAATCCTGCCCTAAGTTACCACCTCTGCTGAGCAGTTTTAAGGGGGCCTTGATGGCTGAAATGATGATGGGATTTTCTCTGCATAAAAATTTATCTATATTTTTCTACCCCATTCACCTAGAAATAGAGACTGATGAATAGTAGCAAGAGTGTGGTTCATGTTAGGTCTTCGCAGCAAAGTATCAAGTACCTGGCAAATCCCAAGGTTCTGAGGCCACAGTGACCATGTTTTGAGTGGTGATGGCTGTTCCTTCACTCTTTGCTGGGCTGCCATTTCTGTAACTCCAGAGGTGCAAAGGACCTGTTCCCAGTGGAGCAACAGTAACTGTGATTACGAGCCCTCCATCAGACACTGTACATCCCCTGCCTCAGACTGTTTATGAAGGAAATTCATTTACCCAGTCTCACTTTTAGTCAACAGTCTTCACACGTTCCTTTTGCAAACTCAATGGTCAATTCTTATCCTTCATAGTTAATAGTGATTAACCATGTTAAATGCTTCTTGGCGGCATCCATCTTGAAACACTTCCTTCGCTTGCTTTCTGGACCACCACATTTCCCTGGCTTTTCTCCTTAGCTAGCTGCTCATTCCAGATGTCTCCTCCTCTCCCTTCCCATTCTCTTCTCTTCCCCAATCATTCTCTCCTTTCCTCTCTTGTCCTCTCCTCTTCTCTTCCTACAATCACTCCCTTAGTGACCTTGTCCATTCTTAAGGCATTAAACACCATTTATACGCTGATAACTCTAAAGTATCTCCAGCTCTGTCTTCTCTTCTAAGCTTCAGATTGACAATGCCAACTGCCTATTTGACACTTGCCTCCTCTTGGATGTCTCAAATTTTGAACTCATGATTGCTACTGCTTACCTCACCATACTTAAACCTGTCCCAGTCCGCTGGCCTCACCCATCTCAATAGATGATGTCACTGATCATCCAGATGGTCAGGCCAAAAACCTTGTATGGTCATTATTGCATTTTTGTTCTCCCTCTCCTACTAGCAGTTGCTGTCAATATCTTCAGAATATCTCTGGAATCTGATTACTTCCCTCCTTCCTGTTTCCACCCTGATCCCCATCATGATTACCTTTGTCTTGGATTATTGCAAGACTCTCCTAACACCTCCTTGCTGCCACAACCTGCCCCATTTGTTTTCCATGCATCAGCCAGAGTGATCTTTAAAAATAACAAGTTATATTATTCCACTCTTTTGCTTAACACTCTCAGGTGATGTTCTAGCCAATGCAATAAAGCAAGAAAAAAATAAGTTTGTAAAAGAAGAAACAAAACTGTAATGAGAGTGTTGTTATGAGAAACATCAAATTGCATTTCATTGTTGTTTCTCTTTATCCCCTTCAATCTGGAATGAATCCTTATTCTTATTCTTTCCCTATCTTTCATGTTCTCAACTATTCTGTAGGATAACCCTCAACCTAGGCCCATCTGATGTGTATACTAATAGGGTCTATGTATGTTCAACTTTAGTAGAAACCACAAAGTTTTCAAAAGTGGTTGTATTTAATATGCTGCACATCCTCATAACACTTGGTATTTTCTATGTTTTGTTTAATTTTAGTCATTTTGGTGGATGTGAAGTGAAATCTCATAAAACTTGAATGTATACTTCTTTGATAACTAATGATGTTGCACACATTTTGTGTGCTTATTGGTCATTTGAATGTCCCCTTTTGTGAAGATCCTATTCAATAATTTTACTCATTTAAAAAATTGGTTTGTCTTTTTCTTTAAAAATGTTTTATTAATATTATTTTTAACTGACAAATATTAATTATGTGTATGTATATATATATATATATATACTTTTTTTTTTTGATACAGAGTTTTGCTCTTGTTGCCCAGGCTGGAGTGCAATGGCATGATCTTGGCTCACTGCAACCTTTGCCTCTCAGGTTCAAGCAATTCTCCTGCCTTAGCCTCCCAAGTAGTTGGGACTACAGGCATGTGCCACCATACCTGGCTAATTTTGTATTTTTAGTAAAGACAGGGCTTCTCTATGTTGGTCAGGCTGGTCTTGAACTCCTGACCTCAGGTGATCCGCCCACCTTGGCCTCCCAAAGTGCTGGGATTATAGGTGTGAGTCACCATGCCCAGCCTAATTGTATATTTTTTATGGGATGCAATGTATGTATATACAATGGGGAATACATAAATTAAGTTAATCAGCATATATAACACCTCACTTACTATTTTTTGTAGTGAGACATTGGACATTCACTTTCTTAGTTATTTTAAAATATACATCATTGGCCTGGTGCGGTGGCTCATGCCTGTAATCCCAGCACTTTGGGAGGCCGAGATGGGCGGATCACAGGGTCCAGAGATCGAGACCATCCTGGCTAACACGGTGAAACCCCGTCTCTACTAAAAATACAACAAATTAGCCGGGCGTGGTGGTGGGCGCCTGTAGTCTCAGCTACTCGGAATGCTGAGGCAGGAGAATGACATGAACCCGGGAGGCGGAGCTTGCAGTGAGGCGAGATTGCGCCACTGCCCTCCAGCCTGGGTGACAGAGCAAGACTCCATCTAAAAAAAGAAAAAAAAGAAAAAAATATATATATATATACACACACACACATTATTATTGGCTATAGTCACTCTGCTATACAATAGATCTCAAAACTCATTCTATCTGAAACTTTGTGCCTTTGACCAACAACTCTCCATTGCTTTTCTTATTGATCTGTATTGGTTCATTAAACATTATACAAGTCCTTAAATGTTGAAAATAAAATAATAAAGTTTCTAGAGAAAACATAGGAAATTATATTTATGATCTTTGTATAGGTAAAGATTTATTTAACTGAATACAAAAGGCCTTAGCCATAAAGGAAAAGTTGAGAAATTTAATTACATTAAAACCAAGAACCTCTATCCACTGAATGACACTTTTTTTTTTTTTTTTTTGAGACAGGGTCTTACTCGGGCTACAGTGCAGTGGTGTGATCAGAGCCCAGTGCAGCCTCAAACTCCCAAGCTCAAGTGATTCCTCACACCTCAGCTTCCAAGTAGCTGGGACTATAATTGCATAGCACCACACCTAGTTAATTTTCAACTTCTTTTGTAGAGACAGGGTCTTGCTATGTTGCCAGGGCTGGTCTCGAATTCCTAGCCTCAAGCAATCCTCCTACCTCAGCCTCCCAAAGTGCTGGGATTACAGGTGTGAGCCACCATGCCCTGCCTTCACTAAATGACACTTTTAAGAGTCAAAAGGTAAGCCATACAGTAGGAGAAGAAACTTGTTTTATATTTTTATACACCTATATAACACACGGTAATATATATTGTTATGTATTATGTAATATATTAATATATTGTTTTCTATATTAATATATATAAAATGACATTTATTGGCCATATTTACTAAAGCTGACCGTACATATACCCTATGAACAGGTACATACACACTCCTCCATATATACCAAACAGAAGTGTTTATATCTATGCAGCAGAAAACACAAACAAAATATTCTTAGCAGGATTATTCTTCATAGCCCAAAACTGGCAACTACTCCTCAAACGTCCATCAACAATAGAAAAGATCAATAAATCGAGATATAGTCATATAATGAATACCATACAGTGACAGGAGAGGATATAGCTGCTCCAGGTAAGGACATCGATGAATCTCACAGACACAGAGTTGATCAAAAGAAAACAGACACAAAGGAATATGTACGGTTTAATTCCATTTATATAAAGCTAAAAAAAAAGTCAAAACTAACTTTTCACTTTCTAAAAACTTATCATTGAGCTGTATATTTAACTAATATTTGTGTGCTTTATAGTATGTGATATATGCCAATTAAAACCAAAGGAAAAAAACCAGCCTCCAGTGGCTTCCCATTACACTTAGAATAAGTCCAAATTCTTATCAAGGACATTTATGAAGTGGCTGCCATCCAGGTCCTGACCTCATCTTCTCCCTTCTCCGCCTCTTTCACTCCACATTGGCCATCCTGACCTTGTTGCCGATGCTTCAGCCCACAAAGCTA